TAAACGCGGACAGAAAAAATGACGGCTAGATAGCGATAGAGCAAGCAAACACGTCAGGCGTTGAAATTCGGTTGTAAGAAAAGTAACTTTAAAATTGGCAGAACTAAGAAAAGTTGGTGAGAGATTTGTGGTCGATCATCGGTTCTCGCACATACTATACAGACACAAACCATCTGCTAGACACGAGAGAGCAAGCGATAACATATTGCCAACCCATGACATCAATAAATAACGAAGCTTGATCTTTTGATATATTGTCACCATTTAACAAATCTAACGCAAGGTTAAGGAAAGTAGTGCTACGTATATGATCGACGCGTGCAACTCCGCATGGAATTAAGATTGTTGCTAGCGAGACTCATTGTAAAACTGTTGTAATGAGCAAATTATTCTAAGCAGACTTGGGTTTATTATCCCACGCTTTATAGTGTCGGCATAGTTTGACTACGTTGAAAGTTCACCAAACTTGAGATATTTGATTTATCTTACCTCGCGCAGGTGAAAGAGAAGCAAAATGTTTTATATATAAGCCAAAGTAGATCGGCGTTTTCGGCATGATGAGGCAAATTAGCGACAAAAGCCGAGGTTTATTAAAATTAACTATCTACCAAGGAAGAGTTGCTATTGCGGAAGTAATTAGCATTTCGCGTGTAATGTGCTCTCTTTACATTGGAAACTTACTAATGAATAAAATTTAAGAAATGGCAATCAATAAAGGCACAATATAATTAATTATTTCATAATTGAGTCTACCAAATGTTAATAAATTGCATTTTTAATGGATTTTTATTTACACGGCTAATAATCATTACGCAGAAAAAGAAACACGAGTATCTTCTGTTCGTGCGCTATGCAATGAAGTACAGAAGATTTGCAACAGTAAAGCACAAGTTGATCAATAAAAATATATATGTATTCTAAAAAACGGAAGAATTTTAGATAACAAAATTGAAAATAAAAGTGAAAAGATAATTTAAATCAATTAACTGAATTCCGCTTGCCTAGCCCGTATACATGCATAAAAGAGAGGGATATAAAATCACATGTATTCGCAAGATAACACAGACGCGCCAGTGTTTACCGCGCCATAAATTGCCGTAGAATTGCATTTTGTAATATGCACCAGCTGGGCCCGATAAATAAAAAAAAATAAATAAACCTTTCTCTTGCAAGCGTACCTAAGCTTCCACATGATTGACGTAAGTAAAGGATCATTGATCACTGTTCTTACCTACCATAGTTTTAAGTTTGTTGAACCTATGTTCCATCGATGGAGATAATATGAAAAAAATAACTTTCGACGTTTCGTTAACCGATTCGTACAGCTCTTCAGAATCTTTATCATGAATAAATAAAATGAAATCAAACGAAAAACAGTATGACAAACAACTAGAACACATCAACGTGAATCAACTATGCGATTATAAATATATAAATACAAAAATGTAATCACGAGTCGATTAGATCGGCGTCAACATTCAGGATTTCGAATGTAACTAAAATAAGCGTCTGGTCTTAGAAATGCTACATACTAAGAGTAAAATCACTTTCGATTTATTATTTTATTGATAAGTTGTTTTGTTGATTCGTGTTAATGCGGTCTAGTTATTTGTCATACTGTTTTTCATTCTGTTTCACTCTGTTTTTTTTCATAATAAAAATTCTGAAGAGGTCATTGAAGCGTCAAATTATTTTTTGTCCGCATTGCCTCTACCAATCGAGCATAGCTTCAACTCAGCTAAGTAAAGGATAAGAAAAAGAGAAAGGGTATATAACGTGAGATTCATTACAAGAGCATCCATTAACTAAAACCACCCTGCGCCCTAATCCCTTTCGCACCCCTACTGAGTTAGCACATGTTTCCGAGATGGAAGGTTTCAGGCAGATGTTGGAACAGAGTGGTGGAAGCTCGCAAGTGAAAGATGAGACGATGAGGGGCGGAGTCGATGAAGTAGAAGTCAATGAATAGAGGATGATTAGACTGACGATATAGCTCGTTTCTTCAGATTCGAATAGGGAAACTACATTAACCGCGAAGTCTTTATTTTACCTTCTATTTTCTAGGTCTGTGAAAAAATCACACGGAATGATACTAATGTAAAACTTCTCTCTTTTTCTCTTTAGAAGAATGAGAGTGGCTCTGATGTAGATGCGTTGCTAATTAAGATTAATACCGTAACTTATTTTAATGTTTTACCTGGACAGAAGAAGACTCATAATGTTTACGTATACTCTGAAATTTTTATTTTGAATTTTTTAGTTTTACTTGAATAAATTTTTTCTAATAAACTAAACGTCTGCATTACTTTTACATTTTTCAGTTTTATACGTACTCAACGGTAATCTTGATTGCTGAAAATAAAGATGTACAACAAGAAATTTCAAGTAAATATTTTTTTACGGTCAAACAAAATATCCTGAAAGAGACTAGCAAAGACGGTTGGTTGAATGTAAGTCTGTATTCAAGACTAATGTAGCCATCGCGCACTGTGGACGGGTCATAAAAGCTATCCGAAAAAAGCCGTCCATCCAAATTTCACGGTTCCCTTTCAAAGAAACATCGTGGTCTCTTAAATAGCTTGGGTATTTTCAGGTCGAGCCGCTTTGGTGCCATGACCGATGGCGATGTTTAGCTTTGAATAATAGATAAGAGGTACGATCTCTCACTCGCTCTTTCTCTCTCTGCTCTGTCTGTCTGTCTCTTTTCCTGGCTGTCTGTCTGTGTCTCTCCATAAGAAGCCCGAGATGCTGCTAGGTAAACGTGAATAAATAAAAGATCGTAGAGCTTGCGTAAGTTCACAATAAAAATCTGCGATGACCCAAACGTGCTGTTTTTTTTTAGTGCTTTTGTTTCTTTTTTTTCCTTCCACGTACTCCGCGAGTGAAAACAAGATGTAGGCGGCGAACCACTGCGGTAAATCTCTTCGCGTGTGTTTATATGTGTGAGAGTGTACCAGCATCGCGCGTTTTTTTTTCTCTCTTCTTCTTCAGGCAAGTTATCTGGCGCTGGGTAGACAAATTAGTAGCGGTAAGAGGCTTTGAATAAACTCATTTATGTATTCATTTATCATTTTACGGAATGGTTTTTGTGTACATGACATTTTTTAATTATGACTGTTAAGTTAAAAATATTGCATTGATTTATAAATTTTTCATCGCAATTAAATGAAGTTTCACCTTGGTTTCACGTTCGTCTAAATAGCTCGTATATTTAAAAAAATGAAAAGGCTTATGTAGTTTACTTGCACATTGATATTAAATATTTCATACTTTAAGAATTAATCAAGTCAAGATGATAATCATAAATGAATATTCAAGTAGTCTATAGTATAATAAAGCTCAATATCTCTAAAACTTTATTTATCCTCCAATCAATAATCCAGACGAAAAAAATAGCGAAGACAGGATAATGAAGTGATGGATTACACGGTACCAAAACTCTATCAACCATCTCATTAGCCAAATCCCAAAAGCAAACCGAATCGGGCTTGCGTTCGTCAATGCAATCGTATTGCAGAGAGATAGAGATAGATAGATAGATAGAGAGAGAGAGAGAGAGAGAGAGAGAGAGAGAGAGAGAGAAGCGACAGACAGACAGACAGACATAGGTTACCGCATCTGATTAAGACTTGAAGCAGAGCGTTCTGTTTCTAGTTGCGCTCAAAGCGATGTATCGTATTAATGCTACGCCAGTTGAAACGAAGTTAGCGAATTGCTGTGAGTACCATGCATAGAACAACGATTGCCGTGATTTCCGTAGAACATTCACGCATAGATCTCTCTCTCTCTCCCTCTCTGTCACCTTTACCGTCACGTCAATATTTGTTTCGGTATACAACGATATCCAAGAATCAATGATGAATGTCTACGATTAATCCGATGCCAGTTCCTGAGTCATGCTTTCTGATATGTTGGAAAGTATCGTAGTTAACTTAAGTTACATAGCTAAATGAGCAGGAATCAATCACCTTCATTATATTTTAATTCATTTCATAAATAATTTTTGTTATATTAATAATATATTTCGAAGGAACTTACTAAACTTCATTGCTCCCTTTTCATCATACATCTATATATCTTAAATTTCAGAATAAGCTCTATTCAAAAATATGCTCGATTTTTAATTATTCGCGGTTGGAGAGTGCTTCACACCGCGGGCGCATGCCTTACAATTCAAATCCTCTTAACGAAGCCCAAAATGCTTATAAACCAGCTGGTGCTAATTATAGAAGTACTAAAGAGAGTACTAACTAGCTTGTTCTTCGTTTGACGAAATATAACGATCGTAGTTAACGACAGGTGATTAATATCATGAGAGTTGAAATGATTTAAAATTTTAAATTATTTTTATTATCATTGTTATTTCAAAGATTGAGTTCCTTTTTTTTTAGTCTGCAAAGGCGCACGAGATACCGTCCAACTTTTTAATAAAAACGATAACTGATATCCGCTTCATTTATCGGTGTACTATAGTTTTTATGAGTTGATCGTATTCTATGTTGTTAATAAAAGCTATAATGTTCTGGTTATATGTTATTTGCATTTGGAATTATAAGGTATATCTTCATTATCCCAGTTATCAATTAAATGAATTGGTATTTTCATAAAAATTGAAATTATTATATTGGAAGCATCGAACTTCCATAATATCAATGATTAAACTCAGCTACAATCTTACTAAAAATCATACGTTGGACGTAAATTAAAAGAAAATATCAAGTGCATGGACATAGAAAATAAAGCATCTGTCGTAAAACGACAACGAGAGAGAGAGAGAGAGAGACGTGATCTCGTAAAAGTGAAGCATGTAGATATATATACGCTAGAGGCCAAAAATCGCATGTGTTCGCTGGCCAATCGGCAAGTAGTATAACAGAGAGACTGCGTGGCGCGCGCGCCGGCAGTTTTGAGTTCAAGGGTGGGGGCGAGATAGAAAGCTTGGAAGCTCGCGTGCCTTGACGCAGCTAGCTAGTATTCGCACGACTCGAGTCGCGCGCGCTCTTTCAGTCGAGCGTTCGTGTGCGCGTGAGCTCATTTCATTCACTACGAAAAAAAGACGCGGACAGAAAAAATTATAAGAAGGTGCGTTCTTTTTGTTGAACTGGTGGTGAATGATTCATCGATGAGCAAGGGTGTTACTTATTCACATACTTGCGGATCGAGGTGGGATCTTGTGCTGGCTATTGCTGATTTTTCTTTGGTGAGTTGGATACTGTTGTTTGAATGTGTTCTGAGGAATCGACTGGAAGAACAAGACTCTGTTATACATATCAAAGCTTTGTAGGTTAGAAAGCTTATTGTGAAGAAAAAACATTCATTTGATCAAGGAAATTGAAACAAATGTGCACATTAGCAAATTTAAGAACTTTCGTATTTTTCATCATATTTGTTTCTCTAAATTATCATTATGAAGATCTATCATTCTTTATCGAACATTTGGTAACCTGAGTGTTAAGACCTACATCTTTTCACATCATTTTTGCAACTTCTTAATTGAAAAGAGAGGCAAATTCTTAAATTTGCTACATAATTATTTTAAGAAAAAAGCTCGATTTCAAAATTCTTTTTTATAGTGCAAAAATATCGAAAGATTCTGTACAATTGAAAGCTCTTCCTCGTATATAATCATTAAGTGAAAAAATAATGATAAATTACTATTAGAAAAATTTTTTATAATAGTTAAATGAAATCGCAAAATAAAAAAATAAAATGCTTATGCGATGAGACCGGTAATGGAGGGTAAGTAAGTATTGATAAAAAAGCGGTGGAGGTAAAAAGATAAAATAAGCTAGGCAGAGGTAGAAAAATTCTTTGCTCGCTAAGCAGAGTAAAAAAGAGTGCGAAAAGTTCGGCACGTTTTCGGCTTATCGCAGCTGCGGATATAACTTTGCAATTAGCTTGAAAGCGCTTTTCGTTGATTGGTGATGATTCCAAAGTTCGGAGGTAGAGAGATATGCGCGCGAGTTATTAATTACGATGTTTTTGTTTAATTAACAAGCACCTGTACGCGCACAAATAGAAATTCTTTCTCTGGCTTCTTCTGCTACAGAATGTATGGCAGACCATCAATGCGTATTCTACGTTTAATATTTGGCGATGCTTTTTGAGTACAATTAATGTACATCGATTATTTCAGATATTTACCAACCAATAGCTACCCCGTAAGCGCACTGCACGATAACGGTATTAGGGCTAATTTCATTGTAGCCGTTCAAACGTCAAAGCGATATTCGCCTGCAATTAAATAAATGAATATTGGCTGATATACGAATTCTACAAGTTGTTCAGTAGATCTATATTCGCATTTGTAATAAAAATGCATGTGCAACATTTCCAGATATTGTTAATTTTCACAAGTGCTGCTGCATGACGTTTCATTCATTTAATTTCATTTTGAAATAATTCCATTTTACTACAATTAAAAGTTATTGAAAATATGCATTCAATCTAAAGTTCAATCTATGTTTAGAAGCTTTTAATAAGACATTAACCCTGACATGATTACGTATCTGATATTTATACCAATTAAATTCAGTACGTCCACTTGCAAACACTAATTTCGTGCTTGTAATGGGATTAAAAGTGGCTTCAAAATGATGACAAATATTGATTAATGATTCTGCAATCAGTGCAGTAGATATCTGCTCTTTGCAAAATCCTATCTTTAACAATGACTACGCCACGACGATCTCGTCGATCTCTATTAATAAAAGATTTCCAATACTATACGAAGCTTTTAGCAAAGAGCGTATGCGAAAAGTCCGCATTCCCGAGTTTGTTTGTTCGTCGGACTGGCTGCAATTCGTTAGTTCCTTTTTTATCCAGCTCTTTCTCTTTTCGCCTCAGCGTACTTTTGCACTGGCTTGTCGTCGACAATTAAAGAATTGTACGGTGATATAAACAGTCGTAAAAAAATACACGACTGAGAGCTGAGGATGAGAAGTCACATTAATTAATTATAATCCGTCGCTTTCAAAATGGCGCTCGTGACGCGACGTGTACGTATAACTAATCAAGCTAAAACTCGGTTGGACGTTGACGCGCGCACGCGACAGTGAGAATGTTTGCGCCTATCTAGTAACAAGATGGAAATCTAATTTGCCGTGATAGAGTTAGCTACGCTCTCCGATCTTTCTCACCGGCGTCAAATGCCTCAAAAAGAGACTCGGTCCGCTGATGCTTCTACTGCCAACGACGAATAATGTCAGATGAAATTGAACAGTTAGTGTAGCACAGCTCCGTTGATAGTAAATCTTTTTGACCAAAATGTGTAAGCGTTTTATTTTTGTTAATATGGACTATGTAATTTTTAAAACTTCATAAGAAATTAAAAGTGAAATGGTGTGGGCTATGAGAATTTTTATGTCGTGAATGTCATTACTACTTCATTTAACTTTATTATGATTTATGGATCGAATTTTTAGTTTTTTCTTTGAGCAATCAGCATTTTTATGACAAGAGAAGCAGATCACAATTTTATACAATGAAAAATTGTTCCTAGAAGCTTTTTTGGTATCCCAACAAAATTTCATTAAAAAAGAAATACCAGTGTCTGATAAGAATTTATCGCGTAAAACCATTATCCCTCATATTTCATCGCAACAAACTGCAAAGTCCCAAAAGCAACAGGAAAGAAGAGAAGGGTTTGGTCTCCAAGGGATTCAACTACCTCGGTAGCGACGGCGTTCGCCCTTTTGGTTCGGCCGTTCATCCCTTCAGCGTGCTACATGCACAATGACCTTATCCCCGGCACCAGCACGGCTTACATGCACTTTGCGACTTCGCGGCTCTTGTACTTATACTAGATGCATATACCCAATAGGGAATTGACTTTGGCCGACGTTTTCGACCAAGAATAAAATCAATTTTAATAGTTCTGTTATGCATTTGGCAATTTTTCTTCCAACTTGCTCTGCTGTCGGCAATTTTGATATTTTGTTTGTATCGAATCTTTCATTTTTATAATCGTACGTGAATAAAATGAAGATAAAACAGGCTTTTTTTATTTATTTATTATCGTATCATCCAAATTTAGTATCAGCGACAGTAGTATGAGGATGAAATAGTTACATGAGCTTATTTACATAACATAAGAATAGATACAACATTTATAATTCATGAATGTTCATAATTTTTTATCTTTTTAAAAATTTTATTATATCTTGGCATTGGCATATATGTTTAGAAATTCTGGACAGTGTAATAGTATATGTTCGATATATTTTGCACTTTGGTTTGTACTCTGTTTAGTCGGTGTTAGTGAGTTAAAGATGTGTGTTCTATTCTGAGTCTATTAATGATAATTTGGTCTTTTCTGTTGAAATTGGTAGCAGGATTGGATTTAAAAATATGTACACTTTGTTTTTTAGCAATAAATGCTAGTTTTATTCGTTTATTTAACGATTGTTAATTTTATTTTTAATTATTTTTTTTATTTTATATTTATTGTGGTAGGTTAGTTGGCAGGCCATTAAAGCAACATCATAGGTGCTCATATTGTAGTTTAAGAAATATGTAAGGTATTAAGTCTGGTCCAGCTTGTGTTTTCATTGTCTTCGAGTATTAATGTTGATTCATTGATAGAGGTTTATCGTGTTATTGATGTCATCTCAGGAAATTTTCAGTAGAGATAGAGATTTTTTAAAAGGTTTGCGTTATGTTTACACTAAATTGTTGGAAATTCCGTAAGGATCATTTACTACGATGTAGTTTTCTTTAAGTGTTATCAATTATTAAGAGCTTTTACCTTCGATAGACTTTATTTTTCTCTAAATTTCGTTTAATGACATTTGATAGTTCACAGATCTTAAGAACTTTAGCTATTATTCTTTTTTACTATGTTTAACTGTTCTCTTTGCTATTGCTTTCAAATTTTTGTGTGCAATACGATTTTCTAATGCAATTTTGCTTTTTTAAATATTGAACGACCTTTTATAATTTTTGACGGCAATTTCAGATTTTGTTCCCCCACGGTGTGTTATACTTGGTAGTCTTCTGTGTGTAGTTTTCTGAGTACTAGTACGTATACTTTTATTTGCTGCTTATAAAATCATCTCTTTGAATTTTTCTATGATATTATTTATGTTTTTGTTATTGCAGGTGAATTCACTAATAAATAATTCTAGCATGTTAGTTTCAAAATTGATATCTTCTTTATATTTTAGATAATTAACCATATTATTATTCTCAATCATATTAAATCTTGCGAAATTGTATAGCAAAGAAATAAGAGAGTGATATCCAAATACTGTAAATAAAAACTATCCCCACTCAATTTATTTTTGATAACGTTTCGCTGGTTTGTCTTCCTCATCAAGCCCTTTATTGAAAAAATAAATCAATTCGTATTTTTGCCAAAATTTTCATCATGTTTGTACAACGGATTGATTTATTTTTTGAAGGACCTGATGAAGGACCTGATGAAGCTGGAAAACAAACGAGCGAAACGGTGTCAAAAATAAATAGAATAGAGATAGTTTTTATTTTTTTTATTTATAGTATTTGAGTTATTATTACTTTTATTTCTTTGCTCTATAATTTCGCAAAATTCTTTATATTTTCTCTAGTCGATTTTATAATATTTCAAACCATTGATTTTAATAGCCGACTCTATTTTTTCTGTGGAGTATATTATCATAACGCGAGAAAAGTGATCGCTATAAGTAATCGAGCCATATAAGTAATCGAGCACTCCCTAGTTGTGTAGTAAAGCTAACTCATTGCTCCAAAGAGTTAAGTCGATAAAGTTTCCGGTAGAAGCGCTACAATACGTTGAAGCACCGTTATTAAATATTCAGTATTTCAATATCGTTTGTAATGAACTCTTCTATAATTGTTTCTCTGCTTTATTAGAGCTACATAAGAAGTTATGTAGCTCCAATAAAACTACCAAGTATTATAAAAGGTGATGAAAGTTGGTTTAGTAAGCTTAGTAGCATTTTATTGTTGATATTATACCTATCGTTCTGATAAATATAGTCATGGTTGAATTCTTTTGATAATCTCTCGTGTAAGTGCCAAGAGTTTAGAGGCTTAAGCCTGTACACCTGCGACGCAAATGACAACACGCGTGCCCAGCAATAACAGCACTCGTCTGAACGCTCCGAATACTACGCGTCGACTCAGACAGGCTTTGTTTTACAACCAACTGTGACTTTTTCTCAGATACTAAAAAGAACACATTTTAGTGCTTTCCATACA